CTGAATGTTGCTGTGCCACATCCCAAGGCCATCCCTATTGAAACGGTTATGTTATGTTATTGGACTCAATACCGCCTGTTCAGTCTTCCTGTTTACTCTGCATTAATTTTGTATGATGCTGCTTAGTGTCCAACTAAGCAGCAATTGAAGCCTGATGTGGTCCAAATATGAATGTTTTCATAAACTCCTGTCCTGTTGTAGTGAGCTGCAGCCCAGCGGGCCACAGTCTGACTGAGCTCGTTAGCCTGAAATGAGGAACACCTGTCTCCACTTAGTCCCTGAGGACAGCAGAGCAGAAAGTGTTTCAGAGCTGTGGAGGATCTACTGTTCTGTCTCTGTCTGTCTTTGGCAGTAGCTGTCAGTCTTCCTGTTTACTCTGCATTAGGTTTGTTTGATGCTGCTAAATGTCCAACTCGGTATTTGATGCCTGATGTTGTCCAGATATGAATGTTTCTTCTTCTTCTTCTCTTTTTTTTAATGGCGGTTGGTCAACAACTTTTCGGTGCATTACCGCCACCTTCCAGATTGGAGTATGGATTCGACAATCTATTCAATTCTTCCTAACACACCCGTTTTTCTTAAAAAAACGAAAACACTCCCAAAGACCACATCCCCAGACGACCTCCGAAACAAATCCCCAATATCCAATTTTATTTTATTCCTGCCTAACTCCTTACATAACCTCTCTCTATTTTGAGTATCACTCCAAAAAAACATGCTGGACTGTTTCCAGCTTCCCACAACCACAACACCCCGTGCTATGTTTATTAATTATTTTAAGATTACTGTTTAACCCTGTGTGTCCAAATCTTATCCTAGATATAATATCTTCTTCTTTTTTAATTCTATTACATTTTCTTACTTCTCCAACCTTTTTCTGAATACTATAATAAAACCTAGCATCCTTTATCCCACTGTTCCTGCCATATCTTCTTGAAATACAATTTCATAATATTCGTTACCTAATTTTTACTTATTTTAATATTGAAATCAACAAGACCCTTTTTTACAGCACTCTTCGCAAAACCATCAGCCAACTCATTTCCAATCACGCCAATGTGAGCAGGAATCCAAACTAATTTAACATTAGAACC